GCTTGCCAGATATTTCTTCATGCCCTGGAAAAAAATTTAATGTATCAGTGTGCCTCTATCAGTTATTCAGGCTTTGGTCTAAATTCTGTTTCATCAGGCACATGAATAGTAGTTGATAATTGGAATGAAAAGCAGGCCCAGCCTAGATGTGTGTAGTCCTATTAACATTGGCCAGGAGATGCCATCCTCTTCTGTTGTACTATAATGTGCTACCAAGAGCCTGTCAACTTTGTCAATTTTGACAAAGATTGGAGAAATGGTTACAGAAAATATATGTTACCTCCCTCCACCAAAAATGGGGAAAAAAGTCATTCTGAAGTCCAAGCAATTCCAGGAAATCATTACCGTATGTATCCTAACATCAAAGTCTGCATTGTGGATAAGATTAAAACAAATACAAGATCAGAACAAATAAGGTTAAAATAAATATTTATTGATGCATTAACATTATATTCCAAAATATAAATAAAATTATTCTTGTGTGAACAGTAGTTCTTACCCCAGGGCAGTTTGTAATTGATTGGAGAGGAAGATGGAATCCAGCTGCAAAAAGACTGTTTATCTACTTCTATCCTCTCTCTAGGATGGAACACTTGCTTTTATCAAGGCCAGGAATAAATGGGTCTGTAGTGAGCATGAGTTTAATTGAGGTCTTTGTCTTCTATTGCTTTTTCTGATCATTCGTTCTATATAAAACAACCAGCTATTTTAATGTTATTTTATAGTTTTGTACACTTACCAGAATCCACTGGAGCTGAGTGATCAATAAAGTAGTTGAATCTCCTCAACGTGGAGCATAGTTAAGCATGGAATGTTGCAAGTACATCAGACAGTTAAAGAAGACAAAAGGGCATTAGAAAAATATCTAAAGAAAAGTGAAGAACATGCATCGAAGTTAGTATATCTAATTTACAGACTACTGGAGAGACCAAACTGGCCTACAAGAAAAACCAAATGAAGAACAGAAAAGAGATATGGGAAGTGAAAGTATTGCTTGGCTAGCGCGCGCGCACACACACACTATCTGGAAAAGCACATAACTACAAGACCAGCAATGGCTAAGAGCAGCAAAGTTGAAGACTTTGGACAAAACCAAGCATTAAGAACAAATGCATATAAAGCCAGAATTGAAAAGATAACAACAGATAGCAGGTACTGCTTCTTCAAAGAAGCTAAAGAAACAATGGAGGACCTAGTTAGCTGCTACAAGATCTCACAGACTAACTACAAACAATGGTGTAACAGGTTAGCAACAGTAGAACATTGGAAGATCTGAAAGAAATATCATTTGACTGCAAGCAAGAACTAGTAGGAGCACAAAACAGACAAAATAATAGATAATGAAGAATTTATGGGACTTAGAATTCATAGAGACAAGCACCTGTCATATAACATCCCAAACTGAACAATTGTTGTTATGAAAGGCAATGAAGTTTAGATGGTGGATAAGGCAGAAATAGAAGAGAAGAGAAAGAATTGGGAAAAAAATCACAAAATATAAATACCTATAAATAAAAGTAGAATGACTGTGACAAAATAAAGCAAATGTAGTACCAATAGCATTAGATATCTTGAGTATGATCTCAGAACATCTGGAGCACCACTGGAACACCATTTGCATTGGCAAAATCACCATCAGTCAGTTGCAAAAAGCAGCTTTACTTGGAGCAGTTTACATCCTGCAATGATATCTTTAACACCATCAAACAACATCTGCCTATCCCAGATGTCATTGGGAAGGAACTCAATAGATGGACAAAAGTGTCAAATATTTGAATTATTTGAAAGTCTCCCTGATTTTTGTCTAATTTTCCCATCAGATTATAACCTAATCCCCAGGTAGAGCATGTCACCTGGAAGGGCCCAGAAGACACTCATTTTAGCCATGTACAGTACCTGCCCTTTGGAACAGCATTCCCTGAAGATTAGATTGGCCCCAATCCTGGTGTCTTTTTATAAGACCTAATAACTTACGGGGTCCGTGGTTATGTTAATTGCTATTGGTTTTTGTGCCTTGGCTGCTAATTGTGTTTATAAGGTTTTAATATGAGTGTTTTTGCTTATTTGTTTCTACATAAATGTTTACTGATTGTTAGCTGTCCAATATCATGAACTTAGACGGGCAGTCTGATAAATAAATGAACAAATGAATTTCATCAGAAACAGTCTTTGTGGTAGAGTTTGTATGCCATACTCCTCAAATTATACTGGTAATACCTAATGTCATCCCATCCTAGAGGGCTTTCTTTTGGTCTCCCAACATTCAGTTAAAGTAGAGGGAATCAGTGGGAGGAGGCACTTCAGTTATGGTTCTTCAATTATCTTTTAATATGATCTATATTATACAGCATGCTATTCTGTCAACTTTAGCATTTTAAAGTAATTTCTATCTTGTTCAATCTCTGTTAGTTGCTTTGGGAGATTATTATCTGACAGGTTGTAATAAACTTTCTAAATTAACATATGGTTGGGTTAAAAATATCTATTCAACATACTTGATTGATGGAAGCTGAAACACATAACTTGCATATAGCTTTTGTTAGACTTTGTATAAAGATTATAAATGTTGGATTGAGTAGATGTAAAAATGAGAACATGACAGTTAACATGGTTCCAATTTATTTTTTCAATACCAAGAAAATTGTTCTGTTAATGTAATAGTATTGTCAAATTAAATAATGCAATGATGACAAATGTTCCTGCTGCTGTCTTTGAAAAGGAAACTGATACTGAACTGTAAAAGTCTTCATGTGTTCTTTTAGATGTACAATGGCATTTCATACTAGATCATTAAGTGTCTCATAGAAGAGCAGAATACTTTATGAAAGGAACAGATAAATATATTTGCAAATGCCTCATGCGATAGCCCAGAAAAAGAGAAATATTTCATGCCATCAATAGACTTCCTTACTTATATTGCCACAGCAAATTGGAATAATAAAAGTGGATGCCGGAAATATAATAAATGCAAAATCACCTAAACTTTCCAAAGTTTGTCATTTTAGTCTTAAAACAGGGAAAAACAACTTTCAATCTTAACAAAAGGTTTTAATAAAAATATACTATATCCAAAAAAGAAGAAATAACCTGGTACAAAAATGTACCTGCTGCACAAATTGCATTCAGAAGTGTAAAAAATTATATAGAAATTTATCATGATATGGATAAAAGGCAAAAGTATGTTGTACTTTAATAGGACAGCTCTATGCATATTTACTTGGAAGTAATCCTTACTGAATTCAGTGGGATTTCTTTTTAATAATACGTGTCTAAGAATTTGATTGTATCAAATTTGATTTTCATTCAGCAAAATAACTTTCCTTTTTAAAAAGTTATTTCTATTTCAATGGAGAAAGATATTGATCAGCTACAACAACATTCACATATGAATCTATTTATTAAAGCGCTGCAAAATATTGGAATAGGGCAGTTGGTAGAATAAACCCAGCCAGTGAAGCTCAGTGCTGCAAAAGGCACAAAAGGTACAAAATTCAAAGGCTTCATTTGTGCCCCCTTGCTTCATATATCTTTCACATGCTAGGCACAGTCCTACTATTTATATCTTTTAATTGAATAAGTTCTGATTGAAGTAGAATGAAAGTAAGTAATTGGCAATTCCTGATGCATAAGCCATCACTGATTTACATGGTTTATGCACAATGTAAAATCATAATATGATTTGATTTTGGATTAGTCCTGCATGATGAGTGAATCCACCCCTTATTGTTGGGGACATATAAAAAACAATTTGCTATGGTTTGTTCAATGAACCAAGTTTGAAAAAAATCCATTCTTCAATATTGGTGTCTTAGGTATTTAACAGCACTTGACTGACTTTATGTGGACTTAAAAGTTAAAGGGAGATTACCAGGAAATTCCGGGTGTATAGACAAGGGGCAACCTGATCAGAGCTGCAAAAATCCAATTGGTAGCTGTCCTATAAACAAGATTGGAAGATTTAAAAAGTATCCCAGAAGGCAATTAGCTGATACCAAGAAAATTTCATGCATACAAAAATTGAGTCATCAAAAGTCACTGACTTAGATTATTTGGGTTTTATATGTCAAAAAAGCCTATTTCATTTCTCCAGCCTAACATAAAAACATTTCCAATATTGTTTTTTGTTATTGTTGTTTTAATGTATTCCTGAATCATAACTAACAGCATTATCCAACTTTTCTTTGATTATCTATCTTTGTCAGAAACCAGGCAAATTATCCAGAATCCTGGGAGTACTTCTAAATTGCTCTTCTGCCTACCATATTTTAAATAATATTATTTTAATGTACAGGAATACACACTATTCCACTACTTTATATGAACACAGATAAAATATGCATACTCACAATTAGCTGACATGTGAACTTACACTTCTTTGTGTCACTATGTAAAACATTGTCCTGAGATTGCATGTACTACAGGAATGTGAAAGAGTTAGATTAGATAAGCATTTCTTGGTTTTGAGAACACTGGAAATTAATAATAAAATGGATGGGATATTTTTCTAAAGAAATGTAGTTGTACTATTGAAATGAGGGGAGGGAACTGTTCCCTTTTTTTTCTTTCCAACATTAATACAACAACATAGTCAAAGAATACAATAACATCTCTACTAACAAGGATATAATGATAACTACCTTTTAATGACTGTATCTTGCTATTGTCATTAAAAGGAAAGATAAGGAATTACAGAAAACTCTTACACCCGATAATAGGGGTGGGGGTGGGGTATGTGAACAAAGTGTTTCACACAGTTTTTCTATGTATGATTTTATAATATGATAGAAGATCTCTCAGGGAATCAAAGCAAACAATCACTCAAAGTTGCATTCAGTCCTGCCTGTTGTCAACTCTATAGATACATGTCCCTGAGATTAAGAGCATTGTACATTTCCTGGCAACTCCAAACTCTTTGATCAAACAAACAAAATAAAAAAAATGTTTTTATTGTATTGTCCTGATATAACTTACAAATATTAACAGATTTTTTTTTAATACAGAGGATGGCTCCAAGTTTCCCCACTACTGTAAGTTACGCCAATCCTACTTTAGAGTCTATGGAATATTCAGTGATACGCCAGAAAATAATAGATTCACAGTTCAAGTGCTATGAAAGGATGAACAGAGCACTTCCTTACAAGAAAAAAGGTAAAGGAACAAACGAGGGAAAGAAAAAAAAACATTTTAAAATTATTATTTAAAGCAGTGCTGGATTTGGATTGCTGAAATTCCCTCCCCCCCAAAAAAAAACCATGAACATAATCATAAATAGAAAATGTCTCTTTATAATTAGATTGAAAAATCTCACAAAATTTTATAAATAATGAAAGTATCAAAGACAATATTAGATTATGTATAACATTTCTTTAAGCAGAAGGTTATTCATTTTGAATGTGTGTTGAATACCTTCTGCAGGGCAACATTTCTTTACAACTAATTTGGTGTTCAGATTTCTAGACCTTGATCCCATACTGGCCTTTTTTTCCACATGATGAAAGTATTTTTTTGTATTGTCCTATATTTAGATTTGAATTATTGCAAGATTTCATAGACAAAACAAATACGTAGCCCTCAACTTACAACAGTTCATTTAGTGACTATTCAAAGTTACAGTGGCACTGAAAAAAGTAACTTATGACCATTTTTCACATTTATAATCCTTGCCGCATCCCCATGGTGACATGATCAGAATTCAGATGCTTGACAGTTGACTCATACATACGACAGTTGCAAAGTCGCAGAGTCATGTGATCATTTTTTGCAATCTTCTGACACGCAAGGTCAATGAGGAAACCAGAGTCACTTAACAATCATGTTAGTAACTTAACAACTACAGTGATTCACTTAACTGTAGCAAGAAAGGTCATAAAATGGCTTAAAACTCACTTAACAACTGTCTTGCTTAGCAACAGATTTGGGCTCATTTGTGGTTGTAAATCAAGGACTATCTGTACTATTATTATACCCATCACTTGAATGTGGACAAAACAGTATTAGGTCTTTAATTCAAAGTTTCTTCCTAGTAATTTTTGTTCTTTTATTTCTTCTCTAATTATCTCTTAATTAGTCACTGTTTCATCTCTTTGGCTATGACATACAAAGCATACAAGTACCCAACTATATTTTAGTCTAACATATACAGACCCAACCCTATAATTTTAATGAATATAGAAAATGATCTCTGTTGAATATACTATACTTAGATATGGATGGATATATCAGATGAAGAAAATCTGTTTTATTTAATTGATGACTTCATTTCATTATTTAGACATAAATGTATTCTTGCTCTGTTCTGTCAAAGAAAAAAGGAAATAAAGAATAGATTCTGATAATTAATTAATTCTTACCCTCAGTAGGAAATTGAGACCAATTAAGAAAAAAAAATACATTTGTGCTGAATCCAGGGAAATCCTTTATACCCTTATCTCTGGAATAGAATGAAGCAGCTCATCTAGCTGAATGTCTAAATGGTTTTAAAGTGCTAGCTTGGTGCCACATCATGCTGAATAAAAGAGGCAGAACCATCAAAGAGATTAATGAGTACTAGATATAATAACTGTAAGAAAACATTTGAGTCCAAGGAAAGTCATTCTTTGAATATATATTACTTTATCAAGAGCTACTGTATGTAGAACTATTCTTTGTTTTGGTTTTCATTTTCCAAAAAAACCATTCTTGAGCTTTGCTGGAGGATTCTGCTGTGAAAGCAACCAGTCCTGAATATTGTCCTGAACATTCAATGATTCCTGAAAATTAGTAAACAGGGTAAGGAGAACAGAGGCAGAGAGATCATCCAACATACAGCTTGTATACAGTTTTCAGTTCCTGAGCAAAACACTCCCTTCATAAGGTAATGCCATACATCTGTGGAGGAGACATTTAGTATGATTAACCATAAATGTAATTTGCTTGACTTTGATATAGACCAAAGCAATACAAGTAGCAACACTTTTAAAGAGAATATAGCTAAATCTGTGATTCAATAGAACCTATCACAGGTAGTCCTCACCTTATGACCACAATTAAGCCCAAAATTTATGTTGCTAAGTGAGAAATTTGTTTAATTAATTTTGCCCCATTTTACAATGTTTCTTCCACATTTGTTAATGTGGAAGTTGTTAAATTAATAACATAGTGGTTAAGTGAATCTGGCTTTCCCATTGACTTTGCTTGTCAGACGGTCACAAAAAGTGATCACATGACCCCAGGACATTGCAACCAGTTGTCAAGTATCCAAAAGCAAATCCATCCCCAAGTGTGAAAATGGTCATAAGTCACTTTTTTGAGTGCCATTGTAACTTCAAATGGTCAAATGAACTGTTGCAAGTCAAGCACTGTCTGTATTTCAAATTATTTACATGCATACTTATATATACATAACCATTTCCTTCCTGGGTAAGGAATTATACAAAGCGCAAAAAAGGAGTAAGAAATATTAAACCAAACAAATTGCAACAAGAAAAAGGTAATTAATGAAAATAGCTAAATATGCTATAGATTAATATAATTCACCAACTTCTCTATAATACTGTATCCTAGCAAAATTTTTGCTTCCACTATCTGTACATAAATTTATAAATTTTATTATTTAACTTTCTCCCGTTACCTTTTGAGGATCTCATTAACTCCATCCAGCCCTGATAGTTTCTTTAAATATATTAACTCTTAAATATGTGTTTTGTGATATCAGTCCTCATTTATGTTGTCTTTAATGTACTTGCTTCCTATGGTCTTCATTTACTTTTGTATTCAATCAATAATCATTCAACACCCCATTAATTATTAAGCCTATTCTTCTTGTTTTGCCACATGTAGTTTTATTACGCAGCTTATTTTCATAGCAATTAGATTTTACATTTCTTCTGACGAGATTAGATTTGACTTCCATATAGCAAAGTTGGTAGAATTATGTTGCAATGCAGTCATTTTCTTCTTTTGATAAACATTAATTTTTAACACTGAAGCACATAAAAGTCCACATCACTCTGCCAATATCTGAATATCTTAAAAAAAATTTCTCATCTTTGGGAATGCACATTTATTTTTACCATTTTTATATAATTAGTGCATATTGTGATATGAAATATCTAGAGGCAAGCAGTCTAGGAAACCTGGTGGTGAGATATTAATTTCAATATCATCTTTAATGTTGAGTAGATCTAAAACACTAAATACTGCTATTGCCGCTAAAGTCCTCACAACAACAGCTTACTTTTATATAATATTTTTGAGAAACTTTGGAATTTGGATTTCATTCTCCTAAGGCAGGAATGTTAGATACCTAATAATTAGAGAATTATTCTTGATAATACTGTTTTAAGCAAGGTACTCTAACAAATATCTATAAAAGAGTTTGTCAATTTTTCTCCTTGGGTACAACATATCCAAAAGAAATCCGCTGCATCATGATGCACCATTTTGTTCTCATCCCCTGCCATTTAACTTGACTGCATGCCATTTCAAAGCCTTAAAATAGCGGCACATATAGAAGGGGTCTCTTTTAGCTCTTAAAAAATGCTACCTTCTTCAGTAGAGGGAACAGAGAATAAACAATATCTTTGCTAAATGAAAAAATTATTGATAAGGTTGCATAACACAGAACTGAAAAGATACATGTGATAAAAAGGGAAAAATTATTGTAATGAGGCAACAAATAATTGGGGATAATAAATTAGCAGATTGAAAGTACATATTGTGCAGAAATAAAAATAATTTTTATCCTCTTTTCAAAAATAACCTCAATGTGTAGGTAAAAGAAACTGTTTTATTTCCCCTGGGTGAAAAACTTTCTGTAGTGTATTGAAAAATACAAATGTTTTTCATTTCATAGAATGACAAATCTTTTCAAAATTAAAAACTAAGCCTCCTACATAACTGACTGTGCTGTCTTTCAGAAATATATTTTGGTTGCATTTTTGTTTTTTTGTTAATCTTTTCCATTAATTCTATGATAGAGTTCTTTTATCCAGTACAAAGTCTGGAAGAAAATGTGCTATATCTAAAAAAATAGGATTGTTCTGATGGAGTCCTGCATTCAATATTTATCAGAAGAAAAAACTGAACATTTTAACTTTTGTATTTCTAAGAAAAGAACTTCCACCCACACTGAAACACTTGGATCTCCCATCTTGAAGAAAATGCACCTGGGAGCTATTTTCAAGCTGCCCAACAAATTAGTGTTGTTGTTTTTCTTTTAGACAGCAACTCCAAGGGTGGCCAAGCACTTTACATTTATTTAACAATTTTTATCACATGTCTTGGGTTCTAATATAATTTAGCCACAAAACCTGCAGGATGACTTTCCCATTTCATTGATTTATTATCAGGTTTAAGTAACATAATTATACTGTCAGATCCAAATTTTGGTGGCCCTGACACTCAGGAGTACCAACCTGCCTAAGTAATCCTATCCCCTGACACTCAGGAGTACCAACCTGCCTAAGTAATCCTATCCCCTTATAGTCACTCTCCCCATTTAAATTCTGATGGATCTCATTTAATTCACTCTATTATCCTGGATTGATGAGATGTAATGTGAAGTAATAGCTAATAATTAATTAATAATAACAATATTATCCACCTCGGGTGACAGAACTTAGTGAATGTGGCAGTTTTCAAAAACTAAGTCATTGAAAAAATTATCTCCGAAGGCACTGGGAAATCAATTCTGTATTGTTGCCAAGAAAATTAGTCTCTAAGAGTCAAGTTCAACTCAAAGGAGTCTTTGCCTTTTAATGCAAAAACAACAATGCTAGGAGTTTTTGTGATTATGATAGACATTACTCTGAGTTTAGGAAAGAAGGCCAATGTATTGTTCCCCAAACTATCAACCTATATTTCTTTCAAATTTCTAGGATTATACTGTAACCGGACCTGGGATGGATGGCTGTGTTGGGATGATACACCAGCTGGAGAATATGCTGACCAGAATTGTCCCGATTATTTTCAAGACTTTGATCCAACTGGTATAGTACCTTTGTTACTTTCAACCAACCAGTAGAATATGGAAATGAAAATATAATTTTTATCAATGTTAAAAGTACAGTTGATTTGCATTTACATGTCCACAACTAGTTATTGTACATACGCTGGAGCAGTCATCTTTTGTGAATTTTTCTGATTTCTCCAAACTTTTGATACAAATTCTCTCATTTAAAAAATACATGCATTAGCAAGGCAGTACAGAAAATTACTTGTAAATACTCCTATATAGGACAAAAATGCACAGAACAGAATGTGTACAGATAAATTGTAATCCAATCTGCAAACAGAAAATAACCTTTTTTTAAAAAAATGCAAATATTATAGTAGTGAAATCAAGTAGTCATTCCTGTTTAAAATGCAAATATTACAGTAATAAAATCAAGAAGTCTTTCTGTTTAAAATTAAAGTGAGCAGGTTAAATAGCTTTTATTTATAGCATTACTGAGTTCTATTCACACCTGCACTGAATGTTCAGGATGTTTTGCTTTAAATCTTCTTTGTCATATTGACTCTGCAATCCAGAAAATAGCATTATTTTTCATGTCAGTCATTTTTATCATAATTCTATTGGTAGAGAATTAAATAGCAGTTACTGTGCTATTCATGTGACATGAATCTCATTCCTAGGTTTTTTTTGTTTTTGTTTTTTTGTATTTTATGATCAAAGGCTGCTATATAAACTGCAACATAATTCTCAAACTCATAATACTTTATAGGGCAGGCATGTCAAACTGCCGGCCCATAGGTCAGGTGCATCATGCTGAAACTACGCCCACCCCATTGCTGGCAATAGGGGAAACGTTTGATACATTACACAATGTGACATGACATTGCAAGTTTGACATGCCTGTTATAGGGATATAGTCAACACAATCAATATGGTAGCCACAATAGTGTGATTGAAATTCTCCGTGTTGTATAAGTACTATCAAACTTCAGTTGCACCATTGTATACAGTATTATACCCTTTTTAAATCATACCTTGCAAACATCACCGACATTTTATGAAGTCATCAAGTGTGTAGTTCTTATTATTATTTCTAAAATATTCATAGCAATATATATACTATCTGTATCTTCCCCAAAGATTGATAAATTGAACCTTCAAATAAATTATTAAAGAGAGACACTTTTGTCCAATCTACCATTATGTAATTCTCATATACAAATGACTATATATGTTTGTTCAGTTTGACTGCTGCTTTCTACTATAGCAAAATTGTATTCTGTTATATGGGTGCAGATAGAAAATGTTCAAGTCTGAACTTTTATATCTGAAATACCAGTTGACAGATGGCTAGAAGGTGGGATAAAGCTACTCAAGTTGAAAAGAAAATGGCATTTCCACAGTTACAGAGTGGGAGTGAGAGTTTTCTGCCAAGGGATTGCTTTCAGAATTAATAATGTCTTGAAGGTTAAGATGCCAATTACAGCCAATCCACATTCACATTTTTTTCCAATTATAGGTTTCTGTATTGTGCTATACCATATCATGATTGGTTGACTTTTGGTTTAGAATATTGTATGAATGGGCATATTGACTTAAAAGTCATGTTTTCATTTCTTTATTTGTAGCTTGTTCAGTAAACTATACTGTTAAAAATATATTGTGCTCAGCAGAAGGAATAGGCAGTGTGTGACAGTCTGAAGAATCTATATTTCCATAGTTTGTTTTTTGCACTTTCAGGCACCTATTGAAATATACACACTTCTGATTTCTCTCTTGTTTTTTGTAATAGCACCTTATGCAATGGAACAGCCTGTTTTAAGGACACTTAAATTAAGCAAATGATTGCTGGCAATCTTAGGCTACAGATTGCAACTTCAGTTAAAGAGAATAGGGAAGTCTAGCAGGATTAGCTCCAGTTTCCCATACCAGATGTGGGCCATCTGTTTATTTTGTTCCATATACATGCTGATTCATAGCTAATAATCACTTCCTGCCATTTGAGAAGACACATGTTGGTTGTATGCCTACAATTCTGGCCTTGTTGAGACTAATCATCACTAAGCTTTGTTGTGACTGTTTTCAAAATGACTTAGATAATATTTCTGTTGTTGACATTAGCATAAAAATGCCATAAATAATTCAGATAAATTGGCAAGAAGAAATTAATCAAAAACAGAAATATTTCTGAATCATCTGCCAGATTTAAACAAATGTGTTCATGTCTCAAGTTCAGACAGAAGCCAAGCATGCATGTTCAAAACCTTCCACGTGGCTGTGCCAGAAGAAGAAACAGAAGGAAATAAGCAAAGCCCAAATTTTGCTGCATCTCATTTTCATCACTGTAAAATATGACTGTTGTATTGTTTCATTTTATTATCACAAAGAATAATGTGTCCCATTGCAGGATATCTATTTGTGTCTTCTGCATTTTCCTAGGTTCTTAAATCTGTAAAAACACACATACATACATACATACATACATACATACATACATACATACATACGGTTTTTAAGTGGGAGACTAGTATAGCTATTTTGGACACATTAGTCCTCATCAGCTAGCCACACCCTTTATGGGATTCGAACCTAGGCAGTCTACTTGCTAGGCAGTTGTATTAACCACCAGGCCTCCAGCTCTCCTCCCCTCTTTGTTAGCTGAATCAAGGGAGTATATACAGAAAGTTTTTCAGACAGACCAGTCTGATTGATTACACCTATAGCATTTTGACTGCTATACTGCAGTTCTACTTTTTTTATAATCTCTTTTGCCTTGCAGCCCCACAACTAGGAGCGTTAAGCAGGCTCAAGTCGCAACTGCGATACATTACAAATTCATTTGTCTGAAAAAAAAATCTCTCTCTCTCTCTCTCTCTCTCTCTATATATATATATATATATATATATATATATATATATATATATATATATATATGTCTTTGGTTGTTCGGGTTTTCTCCCGCGTAAAATTGGAAGTGTCTTGGCAACGTTTCGACGAAGTCACATTCGTCATCTTCAGGCTGGTGTTTTTAGCTTCTTGCTTTGAGCAGCAATGGGTGGTTTTAGCTGTTTCTTCCTTTTAACTGCCAGTGAGGGTATGAACTGATTGGATGGGAGCTTGGCTGTGTGGAGCACCCATGGGATCACCCCTCTCACCTGTCATTGCCAACCTCTACATGGAACACTTTGAAACCCAAGCTCTAGAAAAATCTGATCACAAACCCAAACTCTGGCTCAGATATGTAGACGACACCTTCATAATCTGGCCACATGGGAAAGAAAAACTGGACAACTTCCTCACCCACCTCAACAGCCTACACCCCAAAATACAGTTCACCATGGAAACAGAAGCTAACAACCAACTTCCCTTCCTGGATGTCTTAGTCTACAAGAAATCCAATGGCTCCCTAGGACACACCATCTACCAGAAGAAAACACACACAAACCGCTATCTGCACGCTCTCTCACACCACCACCCAGCACAGATCAACTCTGTAGCCAAGACACTCATCTCCAGAACAAAACGCTTAGCTGACGAACAACACCTAAAACCCGAACTACACACTCTCACCAATGTACTAACATCCAATGGATTCCATAGAAATAAGATTACAAACCTAATCCAAAAAGAAACCCCCACTAAAATCCAAGACAAAGAACAAGAAAACGGCAAAGCCCTCCTCCCATACATAAAAGGCACCACAGACAGAATCAGTAAGATCCTCATAAACACAACATCAAAACAGCATTCTGCACAAACAGAAAAATATCCACCATCCTTAGAAACCCCAAAGATAAAATTGAATTAGAAAATCAAGGAGTATACGAAATCCCATGCACCACTTGTCCCACCACATACATCGGACAAACCAACAGAAGAATAAGTGCACGCATTGAAGAACATAAGAACTCAGTCAAAAAAGAGGAACCAACATCTTCCCTGGTCCAACACCTTAAAGCCACAGGACATGAAATTGACTTTAAAAATACCAGAACCATTGCCAAAAGTGAACATTTTAATAACAGAATAATCAGAGAAGCCATCGAGATAGAAAAACGCCCACACAGCATGAACAAGCGAGATGATACCTCCCGCCTACCAGCCATTTGGAAACCTGCCCTTATTGACAAACGACTCCCTAACCCCAAAATCTTAAACCCCTCTGCAACTCAGACTACCTGAGCACAACCAAACAGAACACTCCCCCAGCCAATCAGAGCACAGCCAAGCCCCTAACCATTCAGAACACACCTCCCCCCAATCAGAACACAGCCAAGCTCCCATCCAATCAGTTCATACCCTCCCTGGCAGTTAAAAGGAAGAAACAGCTAAAACCCCACATTGCTGCTCAAAGCAAGAAGCTAAAAACACCAGCCTGAAGATGACGAATGTGACTTCGTCGAAACGTTGCCAAGACACTTCCAATTTTACGCGGGATAAAACCCGAACAACCAAAGACCTATATACAAATACCCGCGAAAACCTCAGAAACATCTATACTATATATAATATATATATATAATAATATATATATATATATATATATATATATATATATATAATAATATATATATATATATGTTTTCTGAGTTTTCGCGGTATTTGTATGTATGGTCTTTGGGGTGTTCGGGTTTTCTCCCACGTAAAATTGGAATTGTCCTTGGCGACGTTTCGACAAAGTCCCAGTCGTCATCTTCTGGCTGGTGTTTTCAGCTTCGTGCTTCTAGGAGCAATGTGTGATCATAGCTGTTTCTTCCTTTTAACTGCCAGTGGAGATATGAACTGATTGGGTGGGAGCTTGGCTGTGTTCTGATTGGGTGGAGGTGTGTTCTGATTGGTTAGGGGCTTGGCTGTGCTCTGATTGGCTGGGGGGTTGGCTGTGCTCTGATTGGCTGGGGGGTTGGCTGTGCTCTGATTGGCTGGGGGAGTGTTCTGTTTGGTTGTGCTCAAGTTAGTCTGAGTTGCAGAGGGATTCAAGATTTTGGGCTGCCCTGCCATTCCTTGGCTTCGTGTTCGTGGTCGTGCTTCCTCTTC